AAAAATACAACTTGAGTTTCCTTAGTCCTTTTTCTTATAGAATGCTCCTTATAGCACACTTCTAATAATATAAATGTTCCGAGCCTCTAGGCTCTGATAGAGAAGCTAATCTGTATTTCTTATCGTAAGAAGCATTCTAGTTTGAACAAGTAAGAATTTTCTAAAGAGCAATCAGTAAAACTAAGCACCTATATAGGATCATAACTAGGATTTCTGGTGAGGATTTTGATTTCATTTCTTTTGTTGAATTTTCGTGCAAAGCTACTCGAGGGCTATCTGCGTCAGCCATCCCTAATTTTGAAGTGATAGACTGGAAAGAAGGCAACTAGTCAACACCACCCACCACAACTCTTGGGCTGCCCTTTACCAAAGAATGATGGGATTGATCGTCACATTGTAAAATCCCCATGAGTGAAAAGGGCGAACATTTTCGGTGACTGGTTTCGATCCCACGATCCACTTATTGTGATTCGAGTGCCTCAACCACTAGGCCTGAGGGGGGTTTAAAATACAAACACGATTTTCCTAGTTTCCAGTTTAAGTGAGCGTGTAGTGACTTTTAAGTGGCCTAAAGCAGGAGTGTTCTGCATGAGATTGCGATCATTATCTCCTGAGAAAGTTTATTGTGTTATCATGAATTTCATGAGACATGAAACCCTCTTCCATCAGATTTTGAGTATGTAAACATCGAAGTTTGTTACGCATTTTTTTTTGTAATCACTAATTTATTTGAGTTCTTGCTCAAAAACGGAAATACGCAGGAGTAAATCAACAGTAGTGTGCTAAACAATATATTCTTGATAAAAATGTAAATAAGGAAAATTTCTGTTCTTTTTTTCTAAAACGTGCATGAACCTCATAGACTTCCTGATATTAAAGAGGATCTTCAAGCAAAAGAGGACTCCACAGAACACCAATATCATGGCTACAAGACTTATATAAGTATTGCTATTAAAAGTTTAGCTATAATTATCTAGAATTAAACAAAGACAGAAAGATGGCAGCAAGCATATGTGAATATTTAGTGTGAATAGTTCACACAACGTAAGTTGTTGTCTTAGAACAAAGCTACATAATTAGACTATTTGCGGTCTATCCACCACAGATAATTGGACCACAGATTTTAGCATTGAAAATCCGTAAACTTATCACTGACCCATCGGGGGACCCCAATAAAAGATAAAACGTTGTTCACCGACTTAAACAGATGTGTGTGTGTTTGGAACGCTTTTTTTTTCAAAAGCACCAAAATATAAACTTTTTTGTTTGATTAGTATTTGTTACCATATATATCTAGTTGGGGGTTTTATAGCTCCATCAGACAAAGAAAATGATTTTGTGTGCTGTATCTAGTTTGTTTTTTGTTCTTGTTTAAGTGCAAAACTGTAGAATAGGTTACCTATGCTGTGCCCATCAAAGAGATTGGGCCCCAAATTTTAGGGTTATAAGCCCTCAAACTTGCCACGTTTGAGCTCTATATTATTTTTGTTATATGTCAACGTAACCTTTATATATTTAGCAATCATAAGACGCCTTTCTAGTTAATAATGGTGTGTTAAAGAAATATGAGAGCTCTACAATTTTGCTTGCTCAACCAACTGCATAACTCGTTTGTCAGTTTGTAGTTTCTTATGGTGTTATAATTCAAAGTACATCAAGGGAAAATAACAGAGAACTATAAAATATAATACATTATATAGTGTTGAAAGCTAGAAAAATTCTGTATTCAGTTCTGGATTTTTATTTTATAAATTTGCATTTATTAAAATCAAACGTATGCAACCTGTAGTAAAATATTTAGGTTATTAAGTTTCACTGACACCAAGACTTTAACATTTAATATCATTTGCAAAACGTACATTTTTCAACTAGTAACATTCTGGAACTTATTAGTTTTTAACAGTATTATATCTTTAAGTTTGTCAAGCACAGTCTCAGGAAACTTAGACCACGAGCTGTCTCAGCATTTTATTTTCTCTATCTGAACAAAATTTAATTTCTATTATTATTTGTTAATTAAAAAGTTTTCTCTATGAAATATAAATTTTTATACACCGATAACCTACCTCCAGCTGAAGCGACTATTACATGAAAGAGATACAATATCTTCAGCCTCATTGAAGCATTCGTTTCCACGTGGGCACGAGAACAAGACTGAAAATTGCAGGAAGTGCACGAGAAACGAGAGCAGCTAAATCGGTGAGTATTACTCCTACGGGATACACGTGAGTTATGGATTCGTTTGGGGTAGTTCACTCTTGACATTGGGTAGCTGCTCATCGAGTATGCTGAGAGAACCGTTCAAGTATAGAGATACGAGAAACGTTAAGCGTTTGAAGTTCTAGTAAACGGCTAGTGATATTTACCATTTACTCAATTGTCATAATCCATCATGTTGAATACGTATAAGTGATAGTATACCGTGTCATTCATAATATTAAGAAATCATGTAAGATATAAAAAAATCCGATAACCGATGTATCAATTTCTTCTGGACTGAATGTGGCCTAGTGGTTAGCGTGCGGACTGTGGATCTGTGATTCCATGGATAATGGCATTGCTAAAAAAGGAAAAAGTGTACTCCGCACGTTGAAGCTATGGGTGTGTTATAAGAGTAACTTTAAATTACCACTATACAATATCACATAAGTAGTCCAATAGTTAACGGTTGGTGGTTTAAATAGCTGCCTTCCCTTTTGTCTATTACTTCAAAATTAGGGACAACTAGCACAGACAACCCTCATGTATCTATACACTAAATTCAACAAACATTTTTTCTGTAAGATTCAGTTTGGTATCATTTGTATTACGCCTTGTTTCCTCTACACGTTGAAAATAAACATAAATCTTTTATGTGTATATATATAGAGAGAGAGACGAGAAATATCAAAATTAAGATATTTTGTTGTGCAATTTATTCAAACTGTTCGTCTATAATATATAGAGACAGAGCCCTTGTATGTTTACGTTACCTGTTGTTATTCGTTAGATGGAGCTGTTTACTTTTTAAGCCTTAACAGATTGGTTTCGTTTCTTTTGAATTTCTCGCAAAGCTACTCGAGGACTTTCTACGCTAGTCGCCTCTAATTGAGCAGTGTAATCACGAAATTGGTGTAAGAAAATGAAAGCTATGAACAATTACACTGGGCAATAAAATAGTTTTTTCTGCACTACTAGAAAAAATGCAGTTGTTTCTGAGTAATTTGACGATTCTAAAAATCATGTTGAAACTAACTGATCGTCTCTAGTTATCAAAATATGATACATTGATTCAAAATATTCTTTATATCGTGAAAATAACAACTTTTTCTTTGATAACTTTATTTATTCATCGAAAATTGAATTTAAGAATATATAATCTGTATACTTTGAGTTCTTTCACGTTCACAGCATGAGCAACAGGAATCGATGGCTAGTGTTCCCATTGTGCAAAAGCATAACTTTCAAACTAACTTTAGATGAATCGATAAAAAGTCTCAATTCTTGAGGATGGTGTTCAGTTCACACTTCTTCCATTACTGCATCAACATGTGTACAGAAACACAAAGTGTCTTGCATGCTGTAGGGAGAAGCAAGACTTTGGTGGCGACTTCGGTAAATTGAAACTCTTGTTCCTGGAGCTAATAAAATTCATTATTGTAAACGAGAGTCAAGAAGTTCCCCATGCTACTTTGTTGAGGTGCCACAGTAATAGAATTACTAGTTGAAGAGGATGAAGATGTTCATTGTCTTCTTTGCAGGATAACTCTTTTGTTTTCCAATTCGCTGGTGATGTAGCACTGGAAAACCATCCCCATGAGGCACTGGTTTAATTGCAGATACAACACCTGGATATTTAATGTATTGTTTAGTTTTGCTTGAATATCCAGAAACATTAGTCATGCAAAAATAACAAACAGTTAAATGATCTTTGGGTTCACGCCATATCATAGGAACTGCAAATGGCATACTTACTCTCTCCTTATTCAGCCACTGTGTCAAGCCAAATTATACACATGTGGAGCCCAATGTTTTTCTTGGTCCCCAATGTTATACCCAAAATAGTGGTAGTAAACTATCTTTACCTTGTACGTGATGTTGTTCCTTCGGGAAACTATAATATATTTTCCACACATACAGCAGAAACTGTTTGAATGATTTTTTGCACTTTCTAACTTTAATTGAACTGAAGGAGCTCGCATTTCAAATGAATTTAAAAAACAATCTATTGTACTGAGTTGATTGCATGGTATTTCACATAGTGTTGATAAAATATTAAGATATTACCATAACTCAAAATCTGGATATAATGGACAAGTTCTAACTACATGTTTAAAATCAGCACCATCATATTACCCCGAATCACTTGAGTTTTCTCCAGTAGCAAAGTTCGTTTTGTTGCTTCACTTATCACCTTATAATGCATCTAATATATTTCGTGTGTATGTATACATATATATATTCACTTACATTTATATCCCCCAGTAACTCACTGGTAAGTCTGCAAACTTACGACGTTAATAATTGGGTTTCGGTACCCGTGATGAGCAGAGCATAGAGAGTCCATTGTGTAGTTTTGTGCTTAACCAAAACACCAAATCTTACATTTATATGTATATTGTGTTACTACATACTTACGAAAAATAATTTGATGAAGATAAACGAACAAAAGTCAAATGAAAAATATTGCGGAACTGTCGATACTTCAGGTAAGGGTTTTAATCTTCTGATAACAACAATAAAATGTGTCGTTTTTGTAGGGTTGGTTTCTTTTTCTTTCAAGTAAGTTGTAGTAATAATCACTGAATTACAATATTCATGACTTTTCTGCAAATGTTCTTACTGTGATGTTATTTTGGTTATCTAGAAAAAATAATAATAATATCCCAAATCACTTAGAAGGCATTGACAAACGTGCGTTTGAATCTTCTAAGCTAGCAAGGAATTTTTATTTCATACCCCATAACATTTGGTACTAAAATATATTTGTGAAATGAGGGCTTGATCTAAATTCAGGTTTTTAAATTTCAGAACGAAAACGAGTGAGTTTTGAACATCTACTGACAGTTTGTTTCTGAACGCTGTATGTTGAATGTTTATTTTGATCTCCTAATTTCATGGTTTCATATTGCTTGTAAGATCTACTTCCTACTTGTCTTTCAAATATTCAACAAATCGTGACAGGAGAATCGTGTTTAGCACGCAGTGAGCACAAACAGTTCGAGTTTTAGTGTATAGTTTCTTCAGACACAATGATTCATTGAAGAAATCTTAAATTTTGCAAAAGGAAAATTTGTAGCTCAACCTTATTGTTCTCAAAAGGTTAATTTTGAACACCGAGAATCCATTATCATTACTTTTTCTGTAGTTTGATAGGTGTAAAAACCTCGGACGTATATAAAAATACTGGATCTTTGAATAAATAAATCATTTCCCAGCGAGTGCTAACAAACATAAAAACTCAGACTAATCCAGGAATGTTGGATCTATGATAGGATAAACCATTCTTCTGTGAATGTTAACAAGCTCTCGAAAACTCAACTCGTAAATAAACAACTTATCAGATCTTACTTAATTCGTTTTATTTCAGAATACCCTAAGTAGTGAATATGAAGCCAAATTTTGGATGCCTCTTCAAAAATGTTTCTATAACCATTGGAGTTACTTTTATCTGTCCATAAGCTTCTATTTTTACCATTAGTCTCAACTATAAATTCATATGATCAATATCAATAGATTGGTTAATTATTAACCTATATGAAATGTTTTACTTCAGCTGAAATCTGAACAACAAACAAAAAAGAACACATTGATTATTACATACATTTTAGTTTGATCGGCCTGAATATACGAGCCCTAGTTATCTATAGCCATCTAATGTTAACGAAAATTAATTTTCTGAACAGGATGTTCTCATTATGGGCAAGACAGTATTTAACAATATTTCAAAACTTACTTTACCTAAGCTAAGCTTACCTTTCAACATATGCCGTGATATATTAGTATATATATATATATAAACATATGAATAGTACCGATGAAAAAGCAGGAAACTAAACTCGTTCTGTTACCTTGTGTCAAATAAACCTATGTTTTGTGTAAACTTTACCATATGTATAAATATATGTTGCGTTTACCACAAAATTTTCGTAACTTATATGTATAGGACCAAAAGTACTCGTTTGTATATTCACTGTTGAAATGTATATTGCTCTCATCCGTATATATACTAGCAAAAACGCTGCCCTACGGGCAACTATTAGTGCTACTAATTACTAATCGTAGCATTCAAATTTCATTGAAAAACATTTAAGAAAAGTGAAGATTTTTCTGGGAAGTACTGCACGGGAAAGTGTTCTGATTGTTGTGATATAAATAGTAACGTTATATATATATATTAAAAGTGGTATCCATTATTGAAAAAATAACAGTAGTTCTGTGATGAAGAAATGGTTGTTGCACATACCGTAATTATTTTTGAATACCTAAAGTGTGAAATCTTTTATGGATTTTTGTTTGTGTTGCCATTTAATAGATGGGGCCACACTGTATTTATTATTTCGGTCACATATATGTGTATTTATATATATATACACGCTAAGTCCATTATACTAAGATAATAAAATGGAGAATTTCAGAAGGCAGACAGTATTCAACAATTCAACTCCGTACATTTTTAAACAGAACATTGCATCTCACAAGACTATTGATGTTTTTCTTCACCAAAACGTAAGCCTTTGTTCGTTTACTGTAGATTGTGATTAGCATTACTATTTATTAAGTAAATAGTTTATGAATAGCATAATGATCTGAAGTTTATGCTGTTTACAGGCCATGGTAATGTTGAGCAGAGTCTAACTTCTATTTTGACGTGATAAGTAACATGTTTACAGACAAACATATGTATACAACTGTTCCTTTTGTATTCACGATTTATTGCATACATGTTCCTCCACATGTTCTCTTCAGACATCTTAATCAAGAACCTATTGGGCTGGTCTGTTACAGCTTAATGTTTTTTGTTTTGTTTTTCAGGATTAATAGAACTTATTAGACTGGTCTAATAGAGCTTGATATTTTTTTCTCAGCATTAATGATGTACATTTGAAACAGTTATAATGTTTTAGCACTATACTAGTGAAACTCATGCCATAAAGAATCATAACCGACGTTAGCTTATAAGTAATTTCTCTAGATGGCGC